CAAACGTAATGCGTCTGCCAAACGCACAGCAGCCTTGCATAATAAAATGTTCAATCTTGCGATATGTAAATGTGAGATGGCCATGTGCTCGCCCTGCAGCGCTCTGCATGGCTTATGACAGCATAAATAATATATGTGGGCATTATCAAAACGTGAATAAAACAGCACTTGTCGTCCTGGACATATTGTGCTGGTAATTAGCCAACATGAGTGACCTGTCCACAGGTTTAGACTAAAGAAGAAGAAGAAGAAGAACACAGATGAAGCCATAGTTTTACATTGAAAGTGTTGCGGGCTCGGTGTAGTGGAGCAGAAGTGTTCCAAGAGCTCGGTGCTGTCTCCAACCCTGGCATCAGCCCCACAGTCACACATACAAGCGTTAAAGATGAATATTGCTGCAATAAATGCATTTTCCTGTGCTGTGTAATGGATTCTGAAAGCCTTTTTCAATCAAATACGTGATGCCACACTATTAAGACACAGACTTACAAAAACAGAGAAAACCTCTTACTGTACGTGTCCAGTAAACTAGGTCAGACTTGGGTTATATGCAAGAGTAACTGTGAGGGAGGGAGACATGCTCGTTTGGACAAAATGTTACGACTGTTTTGACTCATGCCATCACCGAGCTCAGGTTATTGTGGCCAAAACTAAAATATAAACAATCCTAACTTTAATGAGCATATATATGTCTTTATTAGGGGAATTTGTCATCTACATTTGACCCATCCATAGCACTAGGGGACCCTTTTTTTTTTACTTATTAATTGTATTTTAATCTTTTGAGTGTGTTTAGAAAGGATGCCTTTAGTTTGACAGAGGAGAACAACCAATAAATAGGTGAAACCGGGGAAAGGGAGGCTGCAATCTAAAAGTAAACAACTTACAAACGCACAATGTATGACACTTATGGACCTCTTGAGTCCATAAGTTATTGTTCCTCAAATGTGCATAAAAAACTTAAATTGTGTACTTAAAAAATAATGTAAACAATTGCAAAGAATTACCAAATATCAATCTTAGTGATGGTCATGAATAATAACCATCTACACAACAATTGAAGATTTTTTGATTCTGCTGAGTACCATTTGTCTTGGATATACTGTATCCATGGACACAAGTCACGAGTCGTATCTATGGAGCCGTGTATTTTAGAACAATGAAAAACAGTAAATACCTAACACTTCACAATAGACCAGTTTCATGCTTAACTGTGCCCATAACATTTCTGAGTAGACATACATGGGGGACTTCTGAAAACAAATCCGAAGGGTCTTTTAACAACAATAATAAATGACATCCTTGATACAAAAAGAGAACATTTGTTTAAACTAGAAAAGTGCAAAATTGAAATTCAAGACATTTTAGCTAATTTTTTACGTGTTCTAGTTTTGGTGAAAGGTCCGAGCTTGTGTATGGTCATGTCAGTACATTCAAGTTACATTATGTTGATTATGGATATATATCTAAAATGTCTAAAATGTGTTGTTTTTGAGCTGTACTGATGCAGCTCGCAAAACTAATTATAATCAACTAATCTTTTTAGACTCTTAGACCTGATTGTGTTGTAAGCATACATTAATACAAAGAATTATAGTATTATAGTACAGCAGAATTATACAGGCATGATTTTAATATTCCAATTTTGTCTGAGAACAGGGGTACACATGCTTTACACAGACGTCACAAAACATTCATACTCACTATTTAGATTCTGAAAGAAGGATCACAGGATTGCACCTCCCCATATGTACGTTATACTGAGCCGGTAGTAAAGCAGTTTGTCTGAAATTATAATATGCAGGGGACTATACTTCAGTTTTAAGATTCATATTTACCTAACAACTAATGGTTAATTGGAAAAAAGGATCTCTGGATAAATTTGCCATGATTTCCCATCAATTCATACATTTATTCATAATATACAGAAATCTCTTTATGTTTCTTGTCTAAATTAAAGTGATTACATGTTATATAATGATAATAGCACTACAACTATACCACAAATGATAATACTAAAATTGCTGTAGTGCATTCATTCTATAGGGAAGGAGAGAATCAGAGCGAGAAAGCACTCTTACATTACATCATCTCCCGTTCTTGGGCCAAAATGGGTCTTGACAAAGCCTCTTTATGATCATGTCGGGCCTGTGCGGCGGCATCTTTCAGAGGCACTAATGGTGTTAATTCAGAGCTATCAACACTGCGCTTTTGTATTTTGGAAATAAATGTCACAAACAAACACGGCTGATTTCATTCAAAAGAGATCAACTCAAAGCATCATGTGACACCTGTTTTAGACCAATTAGAAAAAGTCAGAGGGAAAAGCCGCATTCATATTCATGGCCGAGCTTGTGTTACCTGTCAGCGGACATATGCTCTCCCACAACAGGCCATGGGGTGCTCTGTAATAACTGTGTAATGCATTTAAAATAGCAAAGGTCAGACACAAACTACAAATGGGAACATGTGTATAAACTCTGAAATCTGCACGAGATGAAAGCTTCTGTTCAGAATATTAGAGGCTTTAGGCAAACAGAAAGAAACAACATAACACAGTGAAAAGAAAACACTTGGGAATGGGATGCTAGCATACGCAATTCTCTAAGAAATTACTTGATCCTGAAATGTTTCCTTAAGGCAAACATTCTGCAATTATTGTGAAGGGAACGAAAGTGTTAGAAATAAAGATGAAATTCTGCTTCAATAGAATGATAAAAAAAACAAATCAGAACCAAGCTGTCCTAGACCTAAAATAGGACAGTGAGTTGAGAATGGAGAAATGGGTCAAGAAAAAGGGAGGGTTTTGGAGCTGCTTCAACTCGGCATGTTTGGTTGGACGTGACACACATGTACTTTAACAGACTGTGAAGAATAGCATCACAGCCCACATACAGCACAAAGGATTTCCACGTCATGTAGCGGCGACATGCTGTTGTCTCTGCCCCATAACACGTTTCTCTGATGCATGAGTGCACATACTCCCATATAGTCTTAATGCACAGAGGGGATTGGTCCAGCTGACGGTCACATGACACACATCTCACAGGCAGGAGTGAGACAGGAGGAGCAGCAGCAACCTTGGACTGCGAGGTGCTGACACAGCACACCTGATCACCAACCCCCCACTACTTCATATCTTCAATATATCTGCGACAAAGCACTCTGAAAATTCAACACACACTTAGAGGCGCACTATGTGAGAAACGTGAGTAGAATGAAGGACTAAAGTTTCTTAAATTACTGAGTTGACACTTTTCCGCTGTATCTCAATCCAAAATGGTCCCAGATCCTGAACTTTTCTATATTGAGTTTGCAGGCTCTTTAAACCTTATGTTTATAATATGTTGAGGACAGGCACTTGACCTCTGACACATGGAGGTGAGCTTCAATATTATTATTTGGATTGTTCTCTTTATTTTTCTGCTGAAATGTTTTCTTTGATAAAGTAAATTATTGTGACTCACAATGTCTTGCTGGTAGCTGACATTATAATCTGAATATATACAAATTACGTTTTTGCCTTTTTGCCTGGGAGAGGAGACAGCAGACCCTGTGACCTATAGGTTACTTTATATATTTGAGCTTTTCTATATAATATTGTCGATATTGTATGTATATGGTTTGAAGCCATCTGATTTTGTTGTTTCAGTGTCTAAATAAAAGGCCATAAAGGATGGGCATGTTTGTGCATGACAAACTAAATTAAACTAAAATGTAATCCATGAAACGTCAACCATGTGACCATAAATTCTTTAAGGTAACCAAAGCTTATTCACATGGATGAGCATCAGTATAGACCAATGTTTAAATAGCATTGGCTATAACCCACTCATTAAGCATTGTTGTTGTATATTGTATATTGTACCTCAGTCTTTTGGTACTCTGGAATATGTCAGTTGGGGCTATGGGGACTGCATGATATTCATATTTCTTGTGATAAGAAAATGATATCAGTAATAAAAATATGGTGTTTCTCATTATGGCCTCACAGAAAAAGTCAGACTCAGCAGGCTGCTCAGCTGGTCACTGACAGCTGCATGAAAAGCACTAATGGCTTTAGTGTTGCTTTAACAGATCCTCAGACATGCAATAGCCAGTCTCTTCTCTCACACTCTTGCCCACGTCCAGCCACACACCCACATGGACCTGGTAATGAGTCACGCCACCTTGGTTTAAAGAGAAGAATGGTGTAAGAGTTACAGTGATAGGGCAAACTCAGCCTGCAAGGTGTGTCACCCAGCATGGGCCAATGATCCAGCCCAGACTGTGCAGCCCCAAAGGACCAGTGTCAGATCAGAGCCTCAGGTCCAAATGCACTCACCTCCCTTGCAATGTAGAAAACATTTGATCAAATATTATTCAGTGTACTTCATTGTAAGCCTCATGACGCCTATATCTGGAAACATGATTTACAACCATGTTCAATGAAAAGCAGCAGATGGGGTTTAAATACTAATTCGACCTTCAGAAATTCATTGAATCGATAAGTAACCCACGTTAAGGTGCTTCCCTCCCAACAGCTGACTGTACTGCGTAATAAAAACAGTGCGCCGTTCCCCTTTTCTCACGTCGCAGCCCACTCCGCATCTGTGCATCACATCCAATTGGCAGGTTTGATGACAGGGGCAAACCCCAGTGACTAACCAGCTCTATATCATCCCTGTATCGCAGCTTTAAGGACATTGGGTGTGAATGGTGCATTAGTGTCGGCGTTATCACGTTATATTGAATGTATATAGCGTTTGTGGGCAGGTACTGGAGCAATGCGCCCACACGCTGCTGCTGCGGTAGCTGTTCCAATGGACATTACGCATAGAGCCACTGATGGCTTGTATCAGCCTTATCTTTTGTTCCCCACTTCACTTACATGCCACAGCTAATTGGCTGATAAGGGACAACAAAAGACTGCAGCTATAAATGCACATCTTACTAAAAGCTCATCAAAGCACTCTCTAATTACCTTCAGCTACCGGCGTGCAGTGCGAAGTGTGGCTTACCTTCCCACCGTTTGGTTGGCGAGCTGTCGCATCCGATTGAACTGTTTCTTCATCTTGAATATTCTTGCGTTAGCACCTACTGTAAGGAATACTGTTGTGCATATTTCTCCTCAAATAATGGTCAGTGCGCCACAGCAGTGAGGTATAAAATCCTGTCCTCCATGTTGCCTCGTTGCTCCTCTCGTGCAGCGCTTACATTTTTCCACCAGAATCTTCTTCTCTCATCTCTATATTCTCCCCATTGCTGCGCGCTGCGTAGGGACGTGAAGGGACGTGTGGGGAAGGATGCTGAGCGGAGCCGCTTCACCACGAGCACAGGAGGCAGAGCAGACTGAGAGGGGCGGCTGCGCAGCGAGGAACTCTGGGAAATGTAGGAGCGTCTGACATTTCATTGCACTGCGCATGGCCTACATTAAATATAGGCCTGCTTAATGATCATATCAGCCATTACCTGTCCTGAATAATGTATTGTTTATAGGTTATATACAGTGAAAAGTGTATATGTGCTACCTTAGAACAGAAATATTGACATTGGAAATCTTTACATAAATAGGCCTATTTGTTATTTACTATGACAAGGTTATAGCTACTTATTTCACAATTTAGTTCTAATTAGTTATTGTTGCCTGTCCTTTTCCATTTCTCCCAGTCTTTGTTTTGAAATAATGGGTATTGAGTGTAAGGACGAGACATGGCCTCTAGAGGTCACCCTTCATCTGTAACGTGTATGTTTTCCACAAGCTCAACATGGAGTTCTTTCACATATTCTGACCTAAAAAAGTAATCGCCTTCCATTATGTACAATTCTAAGCACTAAGTGACTCTGCATTCTTCCTCTATTTGTTGTCTGCCAAATGAGTAACATACAAAACTTAAAAATAAAGCATATCGTATTAATAACCAATCTTTAGGGCAAAAATTATTATTAGCCATTAATTATCAATATATATTAATATGTAATAATAATACTCACAAATTGTACTAAAAACAATAAAAATTGTTCTTAAAATCATTTTTAACAATAATAATACAAAATAAAGATATAAAAAATATTATAACCAAATATGCTTTTTTTGTCCGCAGCGATGAAGGGCATATTGTCTAGACACCATAGATTGTATAAGTGTCAACACCCAACAGGTTATTCACTCTGGTGGGGTCTGGGGGCGTCCTCGTCTCCTCGGGGCCTGTGTCGCCCCCTGTGGGCTTGGCAGCCGGCTCTCATGCTCCTGGTGCAGATGGCTCCTGGGATGGCGCTTCTTCAGCAGAATGCAATCTACACCAGCCCTAAGATCTTACCATCGTTCTACCTATAATACCTATAAAAATGGTTTGTGACTTTAAATGTGTCCGTGTCTGTGTGTGTGTGTGTGTGTGAGTGTGGTGTGTGGGAGCTAATTGCGTACCTTAGTATATCAGTATGCCGGTGGTTGATCTAGTTCTACCTAACAAATGTGGTATTGGGTGTGTGTGTGTGGTGGGGGGGGGGGGGGGGGGGGGGGGGGGGCGCATCTTGGAATGTATTATTAGCACACCAGTAAACGCACTTGTGATACAATCTTTTATTGACAGAAAACGGCGCTTACTCAATAACTTTTATTGCTTGAATGACTCTCTAGCAAGCCACGATGTTCCACTACTTTATTATTTAAGCAGCACCCAAATAGGCGACTTGAAGCTGTTCTTTCTGTCGAGCATTACTTCCCACATTACAATTAGATTCATTACGTCAACAGCGACTATTTTAGGTCACCAACGACCGGGCCCCGCGTCATAAAGAGTCCAGTTAGTTTATTCCTCTACAGGGTTCTCACAAGATTCTACACACATTTTTTATCAATCCATGGGTCCTTTCCCAACCTTACCACCACAGAGTGTCAAACAATTCGCTCGGCCATCCACGCACATTATGGCCCACGGTCTGTGTGACATCGCTGACCGTCCGCCTGACACCAGCCCAATTCCGAATTGAAACAGGAGGACCACCCCAACCGGCGCAGGTAGTATGTGCTACAGATAAATGGTTACTAGTTCTGGACTCAATAATCTCCTTTGCTGCAAACTGCGCGGGGCGGCGCATGCCCTCCGCCTAGAACACCACCTTTTGACCATGTTAGCACAATTGATAAATCCAAATACGACCCCCCCACCGCCCCGCCCAGACTGCCCCACAGCATCTAGATGCATACTCCCGGGGTATCTACCTATTACGGACCCACCCCCCCCACACACACGTAACATCCCCCACGTCACAGGTCAGCCCACCCATAGCCAGTCAGAATACATCCCACCTGACCCCCCCACACCCACTAACCCCCCCTCTTCACCACACCCTCCAGCCCATCCCATTCCTCCACCCTCCCTTAACTCAAACCCTATTAGCCCCCCTTCCTGATTATTACCCCCCCCTCCCCTCCCCCCCCCTACATCACAAAAAACCCACCCAAATATAAACCATACCCACCCAACCACAATCCATTCCCACATTTTCCACCCAATTCACCTTTAAATTTTACCATCGTCCTACGACCTTACCCCCCCCACCCCCCTTCATTCCCACTCTATCCCCTCAACATATTTCCTACCCTCCCTCAC